GTATCGATCATGACGATAGTGGTATCCATGGATTCCTCTCACTTTCTGGAGTACATATATAAAGAAATGATGCAGAAACCCCCCAATACCCACAATATTGGCCCCAACAGGAATGGGGGATAGGAATGGTACCAGGGAAATTGCAGGGTGTGATATGAATAATTTATAGAAAATAGGTAATTATATAATCGAATGCAATCTTGCAATCCTCCCCATGGGGTCTACTGCCCCAGACCCCAGCACTGTACAAGAAAGAATTCAGCTTGTATGAACAGCAGGATATAACGTAAGACAGAATCAAAATTGTCTGCTCTGTCCTGTTGCGAATACTTGGAGGATTTTTTTCTCTTCTGGGGAGGGGTCGAGGGCACAGACCCCTACACTAGACAAAATAGTGACGAATTTTATGTATGTTATTCATATTTTATTCCTCAATTCTCCTGGTACCTTTCATGCCACCCCTAGAATCGGGGCAAAGAATTTGGGGGTTTGGATGTAGTTCTGTGGCGAACGGCTTACATGTATGGGTAGCAGAGAATGAGAGGAATCCATCGATATCACTATTATCTTGCTCAGTCATGCAAATCTATTACCTGGTATGTTATTTTTTCTCCCTTTGTATATAGTCCAGCACTGTTAACAGAAAAGTTTTAAGTTTTGATCTCGGTTGGAAAAAAAAAAAAAAATCTTTTGCAAATGTTCGCATTCATTAATTTATACTTGATAAATTCCTTAGATAGTTTAATTCTTATTCTTTACCATACCCTTTCCTCATTTGAACTTGATCTATACCAAATAATATTTTCAACTATATTTTTTTGTTATATGGACATAGTAAGTCTTTTAAGTGCAACATTTCATGTAAAAAGAAAATTAACAGATTTAAAATTATGTCATATATGTATACACACACATGCCCATATATGTATACATGCACATGAAAACACACACGCGTGCACATGCACACACAAGCAAGCACACACACACATACATGCACACGCATATATCTATATCTATCCATATCTATCTATATCTATATATATCTATCTATATCTATCTATATCATATCTAACTATATATAATATATATATATAATATATATAATATAATATATATATATATGATATATATATATATATAATATATATGTATGATATATATGATATATGATATATATATATGATATATATGATATATATATATATGTATATATATAATATATATAATATAATATATATATATGATATATATAATATATATATATATATATATATATATATATATATATATATATATATATATATATATATATATATATATATATATATATATATATATATATATATATATTTATATGTGTGTTTATTCATTTATTAATTACTTTTATATTATTGAATTATTTATGAAAATTTATTTAGAAATTAATATGTATTACTGTATTACTTCACACAGCAAAAATGGGGGACCAACTGCGAATAAATCTTGATGAACCACGATATGACCAGTCAAATTTTTATGGCCGTCTGCAGCACTTTTTTGGAATCACAGATTGGCGTCTGTGTGTGAAAACAGACCAGGAACTTAATGAAGCCAAAGATCTTCTTCAGAAATACAGGTTGGAAGGAATTTGTAACTTAATAATCTGGAGAAGTTCATATGTGTGTACAATTGTTTTTTTTTTTTTTTATTCCAGTTTTAGTGTGTTCATATGTGATAGCCTTATATTTAACGTATTGTTGGAATAATTATTCTATTTTCATTATTTAAGTGATTATTTTGAATATCATAAATTTTTGTGGTCACTAAATTACTAATTACCCAAGAATTCCTGATGTTAGTGTAAATCTATTTATATTTTTCTGAATTTTTCTCTTTATTAACTTGTGAACATAAATTCTGGCATTGATTGTACAGGCAAAAGTGAGTTTTTCTAAAATACCTTCAATTAATGCTTATGTTTGACTTCAGGCTGGGCCAGGAACCCCCAGGAACCACAGAGGAACAGATCTGGTATGCCAAACGCTTGTATGAGTCCGCTTTTCACCCAGACACTGGCGACAAGCAGAATGTCATTGGCCGCATGAGTTTCCAGGTGCCTGGGGGTATGATCCTGACAGGTGCTATGCTGACATTTTACAAGTGAGTAGATGTGTTGCTTTTTGGCTTTTATTAATGTATTCTACAGTAACTTTGTTTTATAACCTTTGTTGCACCTAATGCTTCTGGGAACTTGCAATGTCCACTGTAGCCGTTTTGTGAAATTCTTTACACATAGAAGTCAATTAGTAGGCATACAATTTCTGTTTTTCCTTGACTTTTCATGATTTATATGTATATAATATATATATATATATATATATATATATATATATATATATATATATATATATATATATATATATATGTATGTATGTATATTTATATAGGGTGCTTTGAAACAATGGTGGGGTAGCCTAGATAGTGGTAAGTGCTTTGCATGTCTTCTCACTTACAGCTGCCACCACTGACAAGCCTGGTGCAAAAAGGGAGCAGCTGTGCATAAGCCTCGCATGCCAGCTCTTAGCCTCTCCATTATCAAGACTTCTGCAGTGCTTCCTCATGACCACCTGTGGAAAATAGGTATCTTGCTGTCCTAGGCTAAAATGGAGGCTCTAGAATCTGCAAGAGGCCCTAAAGATATAGAGTCAAGGCCCACCAGTGAGTGGACATACCCTGGCTTTGTACTAACTCCTGCCCCCTTGCCCCTAGGGTTAATGGGCGGCTGTAGGGAGGCAGGCATTGCCAGTCCGCCTCCCTAAGAGAACCCAGTTGGCAGTGAATTGTATAGAAGATGGTGCTGGAGGGAGAGCAAACCTTCTGCCCACCCAGCAAGAAAGGCTTGCTGTGGGCATCTCTGGATTGGCAAACTCTAGGACTCGGACTGGGAGTAGGGTTTACCTGTCCTGTTCACCTTCCAGTGGCTTGAGGCTTGTAGGATCTACCCTGAGTGACTGGCCAAGGCTTAACCTCACCCTGGTAGTCAAGGTGGGGGCTTGGGTGGCTTGGGAGGATATGCAGTGGCTGCTCTCTCAGAGGTGAGAAGCCTGGTGGAGGCACGAGCAGTGTGGGTGGCTATGCCTATTACTGGTTAGGCTGCAGCGAAGGGAGTAGCCATAGCCATCTCCAGCAGACTTTAGCCCTTGGTAATAGAGGCTACTCTGATTGATGAGCATATAATGGTATTGAGACTGAAGCTTGCATTTGGCTTCATGTCTCTTATTAAAGTGTACCCTCACTGATATTTGTAAACTTGATGTGAAAGAGATGTTTTTGGCAAACTCGCATTTGTGACAGACAGTTGTCTTTAATGAGATATTCGCATTGTTCTGGGTGACTTCAATGTGGGTATGTAGCTGCAATTGACCTGCCTATGAGATGCCTGTTAGTCCTCATGGCTTGGGAGTCGATGCCACCTGTGAGAATAGCCTCCTTTTCCGCTCAATCCAGCTCAAGAATCAATTTGCAAACACCCATAAGCAAGACAGAATTTCATCTCTTAGGAGACACTGGAAGCCACATAAGCTTGTTGTGACAGGGGATCCTGACTTGCATTGTTCTCAGGTTCGCAAGATTCAGTCACTGCTGAGAAGGGATAAAGAACAGTTTATCAGGAGTCTTGAATAGGAGGTCGAAGGCCATTTATTAGAAAAATACCTACTAAGGCCTGAGAAAGCTGAACTCCAAGCCCTGCTCACAAGTGACTATAGTCCACTCAGTAAGTGGCTAGATCATCTCAGATCCTGTTGGGTAAGTGGCCAGGTCATCTCAGATCCTGTTGGGGTGCAGGAACGTTGGCTTGAGTATTTTGAGGAGTTGTACCAGATGATCCACCAACAGTTAACTTGGATGTGGTTAGTGTCAAGATCCCGTTGCTGGACCCACTCATCAGCGAGGATTAACCCTCCTTAACCCAGTAACGACAGGTGTCCCACATATGAGACACCCCCCCAAAAAAAAAATTGCACACACACACACACACACACACACACACACACACACACACACACACACACACACACACACACACACACACACACACACACACACACACACACACACACACACACACACACACACACACACACACACACACATTTATTTCTGTACACATATATATTTTATTGTTCTTGCTGCTCATATCTAACTGTATAATCTTCTGACACTCCCAGGTCCACCCCAGCAGTGGTTTTCTGGCAGTGGGCTAACCAGTCGTTCAACGCCCTTGTAAACTACACTAATCGCAATGCAAAATCCCAGCTGACGGAACAGCAGATGGCTGTTGCATACGTTTCCGCCACCAGTGCAGCTCTTGTCACTGCCCTTGGCCTGAAGAAGTCCTTGGCCAAGAAAGCATCAACCTTAATGCAGGTGCCATGTTTTACTCTTTATGTGTTTTTTTTTGGTGATACATTTGATTTATTTTTCAAGTGACACAAATGCACATAGATTGCTGTATGTGAGGAAAGTGTGTGAAAACAGTGCCCCCATAGCCTTCACCACAATTACCACCACAAGCACCTTACCATAGTCACTGTTTTGCCTTAACTCATACCAAAGGTGGTTCATGGTATGTATTTGAGTGTTTGTTCACATGCAAGTTGGAACCCTCAAACCTGTTTGACGAGGTTGTGTACAGGAGTTTTTGGAATTGGGGGAAAACCAATTTTTGTAACATGTCTTAGTTTTTACAGTAGATGTATATATAGTAACAATCACAATACAGGAAATTAAGCAAGCAATTAATGGGAGTGAATGGCCACAAAGTAGATATGTCATGAATAATATACTCTTTTGTTAGCACACTGGTATTTTACTATTTGAATTGGCAGCTTCTCTCTCACTGTTGATACGACTATCTGTTGATGTTCATCACAGCAAAGTGTCAAGTAAAACACTGCTTATGCAACTCCTATTTGACTGTGACACATTTGGATATGTGGCACAGCCAGTGATGCCTGTTTTTTTATGATCATATAGAAATGGAAAGAGGGAGATTGATTTCACTGTGATTATAACTATTTTCTTTTGGTTTTGTATATTTTTTTGAGAACAATTTCCCAGGTCAATGTATATACAGTTTCATGAACTAATATGTAATCTCAGTTGCTTGTTTACTGTTTGTCAGATGAAACATTTTTACACTTTTTTTAGGTTGGTAACTGTCATGGAGAAAACCCTTTTCAGAAAATCTTTGGAGGGGCTTAGTAAGCTGAGAGAGTATTCAAGGCTGACCATTATCAAAAATTCTTATAATTGCTCATTGACACTGAACTAAATATTATTTTTGGATTGTATGCAATAAACCTGTAGTGAAAGTAGTACATATATAACAAATATCTAACAGATTTAGGGGCACCTTAAATTTTTATTCTGACCAAACTAATATATACTAGTTGTAGATGTTATCGAGCCTGATGTACAACCTCAGTCTGTTCTTTTATCTCTTTGAATATCTTTGTCTTTCACCTCAGTGGCATGTTTTTAGTTAGTTTGAATACCTCACCCAAAGTTGTTTAAGAATAGAGAAAACATGTCAACCGAGAGTGTATAGTATATATATATATAATATATATATATATATTTAGATTTTCATGGATATAATCATTTGTAAAAATATAGTGAAGAATAAGATGGATGGAAAACTCTAATGCTCGATTTGTTAAGTTGAGTCTTGGCGATGGGTGTAAATAGATCAATATTTATCAAAATAAAACATACAAGGGAGGCTATGTAACGCATATTACTAAAACAATGGAGAACAAAGCAATCCACTTATTTTAGGCCTGGCTACCCTCTGTAGAATCACAGAATAATAAGTTAGAACCTAAAACCTACATGGACAGAAAAACAACAACAAAAAACAAAGTTCTAAAGAGTAGTTTCATAAAAACAACAACAAAAAACAAAGTTCTCATTCCTTGTGCCTCAAGGGTCTTGCAGAAGCTTGATATAACTTTAGAAGAAGGGAGTGAAGAGAAGGAAACACCACCAAACAACGTAACATAGTGAAGGAGTTCCTGGGATAATCTCATCTCTGAGAGCTGGTAATTACTAAATCAGCTGCACCAAATTGTCATCATACAAAGAAAAGAATACAGAGGCACAGATAGCCTGAAGTTGGCTTAGAGTGACATATGAGTCTGGGGAATGCTTGAATGAGGAGGGGAAAGAGAGTAAAACAAAGAAAGGACCTCAGTTACTGCGAAAAAGCAAGCCGAGCCACAACATCTCTGTGAACCTACCACGCCAACCCTGTCAAGAGTTGCAGCACTATCATACTGGAAAAGATATGCGCACAGTGTAGTGATAAAGCACATCCTTTTTGTGTGTATGCTGGGTGCATAGAAAGGGTATGTACTAATGGCCAAGATGCTGCATATGCACCAGCAACATCCAGCATCATTAGCTTCCACAGAAAATAGCATAGTGTACAGACGGACAAAAGTCTTTTATTTGATTGAGGCTTTGAATCTGTCTTACCCTATATAAAAAGTGTGGTATTAAGCAGATGTTCAATACAGAATTTGAAACATGTTTGACAAGAGTTTTGACTGTGACTGCATTAGTGTCAAAAACGAATAGAACATGAAAAAGGGACAGATGAACAGAGGTCTACTGATTGATCCATGTGAAAAAGATCTGTGTAATTCAATCTAGTCAAAGTGCACTTACAGTCATATACTATCAGATTCCACTCAAAACACCTGTGCAATTGTACGTACATTTTGTCTCTCATCTCAAGTTCAGGGAAAACCAGTCGATACAATCCTTCATAAATACAATTCCTGATTACTACACGGACTGACTAATATGAAAGCACATGGAAATATGGGAGCCAAGGAATAGAAAAGGAGAATAAAGAAGCCCAGGGAAAGAGAAGGGCATAAGAATGAGGGAACCATGGGATAAAGGGGACAAAAATATTGGACCCAAGGGGAAGAAAAGGGCATGAGAATGAGGGAAACACATATATTGCTTACATCACATACAGTTTAAAGCAACATCCAATTGACAATATCTTCTAGCCGACCAAAATTTCTATATTACAGAAGAAAGTGGCCTGTTCTCCAGGAGTATTTTGACCATAGGTGATAGGTATTCCAGTATTTTGGGGGAGAGTGTGAGGATTTGGAGATGTGGAAATAGTGGGGGAAAAGTTTTCCAGTGCTGATGTAATTTGGGATTTTTTTCTTTCACAAGTAGAAATAAACATTTTTACTACTATCCTTTAAATGTTCTTAGATATACTACCCATAATTGTAAATTCCTAAAACCAAAGATAAAACCCTGTCAGAAATGTATCATAAACTGATCTTTTTAACACCCTTCTATTTTTTTGTAGTGGATTGTCTTTTATATATTTGAAAAAATAACATATTGAAATAATTCTCTTTTACACTCATAATGTGATTCATAATGTACTTTTTCTGTTTTGTATTTCCTAGAGATTTGTGCCCTTTG